CTAAAACTAAGTGTCCTAAAGTAAGAAATACTTAATATTGCTGAGATTCCATGGGTCAGCTGGATAATTCTGGTGATCTGGGCCAGGTTTGACTGATCCCAGGCGTGCTTACACATGTATTTGTGGTCAGCGGACAAGTTGGCTGAAGTCTGGCTGGTTTAGGATGGTCTCATTCGTGTACCTGTAGGTTGACTGGCTGTTGGCTGAGGTGCTGAGGATGACTGAGCCATGAATATCTCATCATCCAATAGGCTGTCCCAAGTTTGTTCCTGATAACGATGATTATTTCCAAGAGCAAAAGCATAAGCATACAAAACTTGTGTTTGCAAATGGCACATCATTACTTCCACCATATCCTGTTTGCCAAAATGAGTCCTAGGGCAACCCAGGTTCAAATATTAATGAAATGTTAGTAGGAGGAACTACAAAGACACATGAGGCTTTGATATAGGGAGTGGCAAAGAATTGAAGACATCCTTGCAATTAATCTACTACTTGTGTTCAATTCATCAATTTAAATTAGAATTTCCCTATGGTAGAATAGCCGTCCCCCAAAGATATCTACATCCTAATCCCAGGAACCTGTGAATATGTCAACTTGCATGGCAAAAGGAACTTTGAAGATGTGATTATGTTAAGAAACTTGAAAGGGGGAGATGAATCTAGATTACCCTGGTGCACCCAAAGTAATCACAAGGGTCTTTCTAAGAGGGTGGCAGGAGAGGAAAGTCAGAGAAGGAGGTATAATGGGAGAAGCAGAGGTCAGAGAGATGCCATTCCTGGAAGGGACCCATAAGCCAAGGAATGCAGACAGTTTCTAGAAGACAGAAAAGACAAGAAAGCAATTCTCTTCCAGAGCCCCCAGGAGGAACACGGTTATTTCAGCCACTTCATTTTTAGGACTTAAGACATTCAAAACTGAGGGATAATAAGAAATTTGTGTTGTGTTAAGCCATTAAGTTTATGGTAATTTATTATATCAGCAGAAGGAAGCTAACACATCTCATTATCTTTTCAATTCAGCCAAGAGATCTACAACATTAGGATTATTGTCATATTTGCATAACACTTCTGGTATTATTTTCTTCAAAAATTTTAATCAATTTTGAAAGCACATCATACCTTGAGTTATAAGCATTAATACCTATGGAATCAAGAGGTATGCTAAGAGTTTTCCCCCAAAACCCATGAAATAAATATGATTTCTTCACATACCACAAGAAAAGTATATGGTTTAACAGCATTTCTCATTTTGTTTGGCCATGTTGCTCTTTCTTCTTCATGGAACATTAATTCACTCATTAGCTCACTCAGGAAATATTTACTGAGTACTTACTATGCACCAGGTTATCTGTGAACAGGAATGAGGAGGCCCCTGTCCTTGCAGAGCTTACATTCTAATACAGACCACAGGTAACAATCACATTTAACAAAATGAAAAATATAATGTCAGGTTCTGATAAAGGACACAAAGTGCTTTTCTAGAGAGTGGGGACTGTGAGGTGGAGTCAGTCTGTGGCAGGGGCTATGTCAGTGTCCCACAGTATTAGGTCCCTGGGAGGAGAGGATTTACAGTCTCACTTTCTACATGGAAATCTTCCAACTTTCCTCATTCTGATTTTTTAACTTCCCAATCCATCACTCAATGCTATTGATTATTGTTTGTACATTTTCTTACATTACTCATTTTTTTTCCTCTCTATTTCCCACCTAGGCTAAGATTCTTGCAAGTGATTTTACTTCTCTTCTGCCCCCAGTAACTTGGGTGGATGCAATATACTCTCCTTTGTAAGTTTTAGCACATTCCCCAGTGATTGAGAAATAAGATCAGAAGATGAGGGACAGGGTCAGAGGTCCCACAGGTGATTCTAAGATACGTCCACAGGCAGAAACAGTCCTGTTTTAGTCACTTTGAGACACGTGTGTGCCTCTTCCAGAGAAGCAGCTGTGTACAGGCGGAGCTTCAATAGAACCTGTGGGTCTCCTTCCCTGGCTCTCCTGCCCTTCCTGATCCAAGTCTCTGTTCTCTACAGGGCCAGCCAGGAGCATGACTGAGAGCTGTTGAGCTGGGCCAACAGAAAGGTAAGCAGTTTCCCAGTTTTCTTCAAGCAGCTGTCAGTGAAGGTGAGGGAAGAAAGCTTATATCTGCTCCAATTTTATCTTCAAGTTCCCCCTTTCCCACCAAGTGTTGCTCTGACTGGTTGTGTGGGTGTTTAAGTAGGTGGACACTTGCTTTACATCACAACATGATGTGTTTTAGAGTCACATGTGTTTTAGAAATTATTGAATCCAAAAATAACATTTTAAGAGATAAAGTCCAGACATATCACATGACTTGCTCTAAATAACAGAGCCCATCATTGACAAATCTAGGATGCAAATTTGGGATTCCTGAACTCATATTCCAGGTCTAAACTACCTGGATGTTGACTTGCATGTTGTAGAAACATAGGGCTTGAGACAAATATTTGCTTTAAAGTTTATCTATAAATGATGTTTAAAATTATAGAATGTACTCTGAGATTTCGTTTACTTTTTCAGGATGTAAGAACATTTTTTCTGGTAACAATTGCCTGCAACACATTCAATGACACTTTTGGCTGAGTTCTTTCTTTGTTAATTTGTGTGTCCTTGATTGTCAAGAATTCATTATCTTTTCACTGTCCCTATGTCCAAGGCAATTTTGCAACACATGCTTTGTAAATTCTTTTTGTTCTCCCTGAAACAATTTTCAGTGTCCTCATTACTTACAAACTAGAAAAGAAAATAGTCACACTTCAGAGCTGTCCTCAAAGACCATCCCTTGGGCCTTCCCCCCACTGTACATTACAATGTTCTTTTCATTTGGCATATGATTTTAAATGCAGGCCATCCAGGAATAAATTACAAGGGTGCTTTCTCTGGTTAGTAGCTCTCAGAAATGTTCTTATTGTTCCTGGGCAACATCCTTCTTTGGTAGTCCCCAAAGATTGCAGGAAATCATTAGATAACAGCCACTTCCAATATATATCCCTCATCTAACCAGTGCAAGGGGGTCACTGATACATTTTACTTCTCTCGCTCTGACCTTCAAAACAACCTTTAAAACTCCTTTAAAACAAACTACTCACTGTATTGACTGGAAAATGGAACACACAAAGTGAATCAAAGTGTTCATACTCTTTGTATAACATTATGATCAAATTAAACTGTAGTTATTCATAACCAGTCTCTCCTATTTGCTTTTATTTTGAGTTACATCAAGCATGACAAAGAAAGATATGTATGCTGTTTCTGTCATTCCATTAATCAGGGAAGACACTGCAAATCAATCACAGAACTCTATTGTGAAGCTTCAGACTCTTTCTTAACACAGATGCCAGGGAGCCATTACCCAACAATCATCTTACATATGTGAATTTAAAACCCTTTCTGTTAATCTACACTTTAGCTCTTCTATGTATACTGAAAAAAGTACAGACATGAAATTCCAAATGTGAACTAAGAGGTGACTCATTATATATTATTATTGCTTTTCCTTTTCTTTTTTTTTTTTTGCCTATTCAAAGCATGTTTTTAGTTTAGAAAGATTTCCCAGAAATTCCTTTTCCCTTGGTGTTAAAAACTTTTCAGAACCTTTATATTTGAAGTGGCAAAATAAAAGTGAACTGGATTAGGTTTCTCGGTTTTAAAAATATGTGGGTCCATTCTTTGTGTCAAAGAGCATTAGCTAAGAAAACACATCTAAATAGTCACTGAAAATTGACACTTAATTAAAAGGAAACACTGCCAATTTAAAGAATTTCTCAAAAAGAAATGTCTCTAAAAGATTGTGTGTATATAAAGTAATAAGAAAAATAATATTTTTAGGTAACATAACTACATTACAAGTAACTTTTAAGTACAATTAGCGCATAATCCAGATTTCTATCATTAGTAAAATGACACTTTTTTACGGAATCAGTGCCATCATGTTTATGTTTCTGAATGGGACTTAGTGACTCAAACAGCATCTAGATTAACCAACCAAACAAATAAACACAAAAACACACAACACGGCAAACAAAAAGAAAAAACAAGAGAAAAAATCTGGCTGAGTATGGCTGGTGAAAAGAAAACCTCTCAATATTAGAGTCACAAAGTATGGACATTCTTCTTAGAATTATGCTTATAATTTGCCTCACCCCAGTTAGGTCCTTCTCTGGATCAGCAATGAAGGGAATGCATTTGAGTTGGGTGGAACTGGAGAATACTATCCATTAAAATCTACAAATATCAATTTGTAAAGAATCTGTCATGCTGAGGAGAGGTGGAGATTAGTTTGACTTTCCCCAGCAGTTTGTCAGAAAAGGAACATTTTTTTTTTAAATAACTCAGGGTTGGCCACCTCAGAGTCACTACTGTGCAATACCCTAGAAAGTCCAACACTAATAAGGGAAGTTAAAAGGACAGAAAGCGAGATGATTAAACCTCACAGCCCCCAGGCAGAAATTAGCTTTAGAAAGTTCCTAGCCAGCCAGCTCTGTTTGTGATGGGCTAAGTATCATCCCAGGTTCAGTAACAATCAAGTGAGCCCCAAAGCTCCATGGAACCAGGAGAATGAATGAGGATAAGCTTTCTCCTGGAGATAGAGTTTAGGTACATCTCGCTTATGAAATGGTCATGTTCCTGATTTTTAAAAACATATTTTTATACTAATTTTTTAGTAAATACTGGTGCTGTCTCACTCAGAGAGAAACACATAAGACACAAGACAATTACATTTATCTATAGATAGGTTTATATAATGTAAATCTAGATAAATTGTTTTCTCTTTGGGTTAATAGTTCTTTAATTATTACTGGTAGATATGTCAGCTGTGTCAATCTCTAGGGCTGTTACCAGTGTGTCAATTCCCCAGGTGGCATTGTACATCCCTTATGCCCTTAGACTTCCTTTGGCCGCTGTTATGTGATACAGAAAGCAAGTAGGAGAAAGATGCTCACTTCCCGAGAAGCCTTGATGACACAGTATGTGGTGAGCCATGTTCTTTTCTCTGTGCCACAGTGACATAACAGGGACATCTTGAGTCTCTATTACATCTGTTATCTTGAGTCCTTAGTGAGGGTAACATGGACAGAGTCACTGAGAATCTAGGAGATTGATACAGCAAGAATGAGAAATACATTTTTATTGTTTTAAGTCACTCATATTCAGGAATTGTTTGTTACTGCAGCATCATATAGCCCATTCTGATGGATATGCTGGCTTTCTCCAGCCTTTAGAACAGTAGCTGAATCATATGATGAAAAACCAGTAATTACAACTTAGCCAGAGAGGATATTGGATTGAAAATCACTTAACTTTAACACAACTCCTTCTCAGTTCTCTTCAGTCAGGTAAGTGCAAATCACTCTAGGAGCTGAAACTCTCTTTCCTAGCATTTTGTGGGTCCTCCCAAGTCTTAGAAATGGATAGATTGATCTGTGGCCCTGTTGGGGAAAAGAATCAGATTCAGTGATTTGTCATCGAGGACTAAGCAGAAGGAGGGCTCAGGTTTCCTGGAATACATGTCATAAAGAAATGAATAGTTCTATAAAGTGAGCTGTAAGGATTTCTATATCAGTCTTCAGGTTTGAAAATCCAGTGTTTGCATGTCTGTGTATTGAGGACTTAACCTAAAGCAAAACTGTAAGACCAACAAAGAATCAAACTGCATAAACAAAGGGACCACCCCCAGCCAGACTCTCCTAGTTATAAGGTCATATTATGTGTGGTCTTCACAAAGTCACTTCTGTGATATTTCTTAGATAACTTATCAACCTAATCCTAGTAGTTTCAAATATGGATGAACCCCATTAAAATGATACCTTTGTATTAAAACTACATTAACTACTTGTAATCTTATTATAGTTACTCTTATAGGCATTAAAATTCTTGTATTCTTTGGGTTCTTACTTTATTTTAACAGTAATAAAAATTATCCAATATGTGCTTAGAAGTATTAAATGCATTTTATTCAGATCCTAGTAATCACATTATCAGTCAATGCTTTTTTAGCTCTGCATATTATTCACATTGTGATTCATTCTTAAGTAGCCATGCTTTCCAATTTTTTTTTTTACATCCACCTTTTCTTAATTGCTTTTGGATATTTTTGTTCTTAAATTTGGTTTTACTCTTTGGAGACAGGGCTTTCAAACTATATATTTGTACTCCTTCTTGTTTCTACAGATGTCTGTAGAGGTCTTTTCTACTTTCCCTCCATCCAGAAAACAGTCATAAAATTTTAAAAAAAAAGTTGGTTAAGTGGGTAGAATAGAGAAGCTGTAGAGTTACATTTCCTATATCAGGTAAATGAGACATGATTTTTCTGTATAATGTGAATGCCTCTGTTGCAGGTATGTGTATATTAAATACAAATATGAAAACTCAGGCAAAGAAATCTTGGGATGCATTTCTTAACTATCTATTATTTTGGTTTCCAACATCACGTTAGAAATTCTACACACTACCTACAATGAAGAATGCCTGGCTGTCTTCTGGGCCCCTAAAGAAATTTCTTCATAACTATACTCATCAGTTATCCTGTTGCATCACACATATGTTGTTTGTGTTCCCTCTAGATTATGAGCTTATTAAAGCCAATGACAATTATCTAGTTTTCTTCCTTTTTTGTCAAGTGCCTAGTACTGGCTTGGTTCTCTGTTACTGCTCTAAATTCTGGAGGAAGTCTGTGTATCTGTCAGAATGGGCTACATGATGCTGCAGTAACAAACAATTCCCGAATCAATAACTGACTCCTGACTGAAAGAATATTACATCTCTCTAACTATATTTCAAGTTTCTTAAGATCAAGAATGGTATCTTACATTTCATTGAATCTCTTCCTGAAATATTATTTAAGATTATCAGAACGGTTCATACAGAGCACAAGAGGATAAGGAAAAGAAAGTCGCGTCCAGAGTTTTTGTTGGATTGTACTTAGATTTAGGAATCATAATTATCCTTTTTCCTTTGTCAGTGATTAAGGAAAAAATAGAACTTTGTAGGAACCAAGGTTTCAGTTATTAGATTATTTGGAAATAAATCCATTTGACTTCTGGGTCACGTTTACAAAAAAA